AATCTAGAAACATCAAGGTCGGGAAGAATTAAGGTCTTAGAGGCACGGTCTATTAGTATATGGTTATGAGATAGCCAATCCATTCCTAGAATAACATCTAAGTTATGTAAGGGCAAACAAATAAGGTTTACAATAAAGTCTTTATTTTGAATGGTCAGTACACAGTTGAGACATATTCTAGAAGTAAGGGTTGGTTCAGCGGTAGGCACAGACACAAGCAAATCATAAGGCAAAGGTGTCACAACTAAGTTCAGATCCTTGACACATTCATTAGAAATAAAGGAATGAGTGGCACCTGAATCAAATAGTACAATTAAGGACTTACCTCCCATTTTACCTTCACCCTGTATAAGATCTTCAGATTTAGAGGCTTCTGCACCACTCAAGGTGAAGACTCTTCCACTAGTTACGAGGTTTCGGAATCCTATCCTTTGTTCTCTAGCTACCGATGTTTTGTTTTGAGGACAATCTCGAGCCAAATGTCCTGGTTTGCCACACACAAAGCACACTTGGCACTGGTAAGGAACAATCTTTGGTTAAATGTCCTTTCCCACATTTCCAGGCATTTCGAGTTGATTCGTCGAAAGGGTCTATTACTTGCTTTACTAGATTCAGCCCCTCTATATCCTTTGAACTCGCTGAGGTACATGTTTGCTATAGGGCTTTTGATATTGATTGGTTTTGCTCTTACTGTATTGGCCCTCCTCTAAACATACCACTTTTATTTCCAATGTCCTTGTTTCTATGAGTCCTGTCCATATCTTCTATCACTTTACATCTATCCATCAACTCCGGAAATGATTTAATGCCCAATGGAGTAACTGCCCTTCGAATCTCATATCGGAGCCCTTCTTCAAATTTCTTGCATTTTCATTCTTCATCTCGAAGTGAGTTGTAAATATCTGGAATATTTTGCCAAGGATTCAAATGCGGCGAGTATATTCCGAAATTGTCATACTTCCTTGATAAAGTTTATTGAATTCCACCTCCTTTGCGTTCCTTGCACCTTGGTGGGAAAATATTTCTCTAAAAACATGGTTTTAAATAATTCCCAAGTAACTTTTTCTCCTTTATTTTCCAACATTTTCAAACTTGCCTTCCACCATATCTTCGCATCACCTTGTAGTTGGAAACTAGCATGAGATACTTTCAGTTCATCCAGAACATTCCATAGCTACAAAAATATCATCTAAGGTCTCGAATCCACTCTTCGACCTTCTCAGGATCATATTCTCCTTTAAAATATGGCGGATCATTTTTCTTGAAGTCGGCTAAAGTTGTTTTATCTACAGTGGCATGATGCTTGGGGCAAAGCTGGCTGAGTCAATGCAGCAACCATTTCCCTTATGGCTTGTGCCACATCGACCATAGGATCACGTCGAGGTGGCATTTCGACCTACAGTTTATTTCACTAAGTTAACGTCTGGTGATAGAAATTATTCCTATCTTATATTTAAAATTTTTCTATACAAACAACATTTTCCTACTCAACTTGTACTCACAAGCCCTAAAGATGCATAACCAGAGCTCTGATACCACTAATGTAACCCCCCTTACAGATTACATTTATTAATTCTAATTTATTATCTAAGTTAGTAATATTTTCAATATTCATAGAAGGTTAATAGAAAATATACTAAGTGAACAATTAATTTAGGTAAGATTTTATATTAAATCAAGCAACAAGTTCTAGTACAAAGTTTTCAAAATATTACAAGTCATGAAGTTATACTTATATGTTATACAATTCCCAGCTCTAAGCTCGGATTTTTGCATCCGACATCTATCTCTTGGACTATATATTCCCGCATCATACGCCACCAACATCCGGGATTGAAATATTTATGGGGTTAGACATTTAATTTTATCCACAACAAATAAAGCAAACATTCATACGATAAAATCAACCAATGAAAAATTCCTTCTAATAGATATACAACCGTATATAATTTAATTTAAAAATTAATTATGAGAAACAAATAAATAAATCATGGAATCATAATAGAGAATATCGTACAAATCATGAATAATTTACAATTTTATCATGCAATATGTTTATGATATGCACATGTGACTCCAAACGTAAAACTTTAAAATCATAAAAAAAATTATTTTTGACTCGGTGCTCCATGGAGACTCATTTGAGTGTCTAGTGGAACCAGAGCTTAACATCACCTCGTCCGGTGATTCGGCAATGTCGCACTAAACGCGAACAAGTAGACGAGTAGTCGAGTGTCGGTGCACCCGGCAGGCTACCACGGCACGGAATCAAATAAAGACTGGCCACTTATGGAATTGCCCATGCCCAAACACTCCCTAGACCGAGAGGTCCATCCCCATAGACCGAGAGGTCCTGTCTTACCTATTCTACTCCCCATTTACTATCGGAGATTCCGGTAGCTCAATTTTTAATAATTCATTCTCTGTCTCATTTGGCCGACCATTTTCATAGTCATATTTCACTACCGGATGCTCTTGATAGTAAATTGACTCACGAGAAAATGTAAAAATTCTGTTTTACACATCATTATTCCTACCAACCGTCCTTGGTAGCAACTTAAGAGAAATTTCCAAATACTTTTACGTAAAAACTTTTACGTGACTTCCAGAAAACATTTCATGCACTATGTTTATGTCTCGTATGAAACAAAACAATCTATCATCAATTAAATACTTAAAAACATCTCCTTCATATATTCAAAATTTTAATTACAATTCATAGTTGTTTTAAGCAAGACAAATTTTATTAATAATTTATTTCATAGGGTTCAGTGTTTTGTCCATATCTTGAGTTCTAGACCTCATTTTAAGATGATTCCAATTGTGTTGGAAAGATAACATAATAATCTATAACTTTGATGAAGGCACTATCCTAAAATTCTAACGTTTATTGAGTCGTTTTCCTAGTAAACAAAGATGAGGTAATATACTGTTTGACTTTATTTCGATTATACCCTTAACCTTTTTCAAAATTCCATTTATGTCCCTAATATGTGAAATGACTATTTTACCCTTGATCTTTTGCAAAAATTCCCACCTAGTCCTTTCTTCTTCCTTCGCTCGCTCAAGCGAGTACACCGGTCGCTTGAGCGAGATGGAACCCGAGAGTCCCCTTTTGTTTTGAAGGCTTCGTCGCTCAAGCGAGTACATCGGCCGCTTGAGCGAGTAATGACCCGAGAGTCCCCTTTGTTTGAAGCTTTCGTCGCTCGAGCGAGTACACTTGTCGCTTGAGCGAGACATGACCGTTAGTCGCTCAAGCGATGTAATTATCGCTTGAGCGATAAAGAACCCGAGAATCCCAAATTTTCCAGGTATCCTCGCTCAAGCGACATATTTTTCGCTTGAGCGAGTTTTGCGAATTTTCATCGGTTCGCCATTTTCGAAATCCAAGTTTCAAATTTCTCAGTTTCAATCACTCAAATTTGTTCCAAATCAAAATTAAACCATAAATATGTTCAATTTAAGTTAAAAACAACAATTTTATTATATAATTCATCCTTAATTGAAAGAATTTCAACAATATTTCAATCTTTGCAATTGATGAATAGTAATCTCCAATTACGGACATTCGTATGAATAAAACTAAACGTCTAACCCATACCCGATTCCTCAATATCTTATTACTCTCCTAATTTTGTATGTTCCTCCTTTCCTCCTTTCTCTCTCGGTTTATTCTTCAAGTTGGTCGTGAATTGTGTTGGTGTATGTTTCCAGTTTCCTCCTATTTATAAACTTACTCACCGACTTAATTCTTTCTAGGATTTTCTTCGCTGTCTTTATTCTTCACCGCCTTAATTTAATTCTCGATTCTTCACCGAGCTTAATTCAAATGTATTTAGGCCACTACCGACCTTCTAGTTCTCTTTTTTTTTTTTAAATATTTATTTACTCATTTATTTAATTTTTATTATTAAGAATTATTATTAAATTATTATTTGACACAATATTAACCTTGGATTTTATTTTATAATTTTCTTAAGACAAAATTACTATAAAAATCATGTTTTATTTTTATAATAACTCTACATAATATTCGGTACATATTTATAAATTACAAAATTTATTTATATAATTGATTACAAAATTTAGGATATTACAATAACCATCATTTTATGTTTGACCTCCTACACAAAATTCCTTTTGTAGCACAATCTAGATTATTATGATTATAACTATTGTCATATGACAAATATAAAATAATTGAGGTAATAACCATTTTTGTATGATGTATTTTCTTTTTAATGTTTAATTTATTTTGTGCCTACCTGAAAACCTGCATTATACAATATAGTCTACTTCAATCCAATCTTGTGCAAAAACAATAATTAAGTTATTTAAAGTACACAATCAATTTTATCCACATAAAACACAATATTATACTACTTTTGCTAAAATCATTCTCAAAATTGCAACATGTAAAGTGTATACAAATTATAATATACTTCTAAGTCTTAGGTGTTAAACAAATTAGCAAAAAAAGTTGTCCATGTGTATCTGATGTAGTCTAAGATATTAGTGTGAAAAGGAGATGTATCCGTACAAAAAAACAACATGTTTGAATAAGTTTACATAAGTACATAGATAACGTATAACTAATTTTAATCTGACATATTGAAATATATTTTCCTTATCTGATGCTAACATTCTTTTTATTCTTGCTTGCACAATAATCACCATTCATTGTATTACATAATAACCACACTCATACATTTTGATTTGTCTAATACAGTACAACTCAAAATGAACATAACTAAATCATTTGGTTTATAGAAAAAAATAACAAAATTTGTGATTCAAATACCTTAAGCAACAATCATGTAAGTTTTTGTGATATTCCACTTGAAATAGTTATGGAAACCTCATCACCTAGTGCAAGAATTTCTGAATCCAAATAGACAAGAAACAGAATGGGATACATACCATTATCCATCTTCTCACTTATCCATTTCATTCAAGATGAGAAGGAAAGAATCTTAGATTGTGACGAGTAATGGCAAGAGATGGATGTCCATGACTATAACAAAACATCAACACCATTGACACAAGGTAGGACAATTCTCCTCTTTTCTTGAAAAGAACTGTCACCAAGAGTTTAAGTATGATACCAACTAAAATTATAGGTTAGTTATAGAAAAAAAGGTTTAAATAGAGCTAAAAATTTTCCATAAAGGACAACATGATGATTCAAAGGTATCATCTATAGTAAGGATGACTAGAAGACTTAAAGGCGACATTTAATCTCGAAAACAATTTTTGAAAATATTTTTATAAACCATGAAACTATATTTTGAAAACAAGTATTCAAAAGATGACTTACGTAATCTGGAAAGCAAGAAAACAAATGCAATACTTGATTTTATACTTGTTCACTCAACTTAAGGTACATTTAATTCTCTTCTAGCATCTTGTTCAAGATTGCACAATAATCAACTTATTACAGCCAAGTATTGTTCATTGTTACTTCTGACTTAATACGAGTCTATAATTCCATTATAATAATCCTTCAACTCCTTGAGTTAAAGAATGAGTACATAGGTCACTCTTGGCAACAACAAGAATACAATATCACTCTTAGCGATCACTATTCATTTTCACTAAGTTACTCTTTGCTCTTCAAGTACATAAAGTCTCTCTAAGCTTTACAAGTAATCAAGTCTCATAGAGAGAATATGAAATAGGTCAATATATATATGAGAATAAGCTTCACAATAAAGGATATAAAAAAAATGAAAGTTCTCTTAAGACTAATATATATAATACTATATTATCAAAAGATATTTTTACAATATTTTTGGTTCACATATAAAGCTTTTCTCACTTCTTCTTGTTTTTACATGACTGCATCACTATTTATAATCTTTATGCACAAATAGTTTCCAAGAGACAGAGTCTGGAGATGACTCTAGTTCATACAACTTCTTACATGTCTCTGAAGCTTTTCAAAAGGAGTTTGTGCAATTGTTGAATTCAAAAGGTGTGTAACAACTGTAAGTAGTCAAAAACCAAGCTAACCTAGTTGAATAATTTATTTAGTGGAGAATATGCGTGAGTTGATTCTTGTAATTATAAGATGATATGCTAAGTGTATCCAATAACACATTGTATGAGTTGGTTGAAGCCTTTATGAGTATTAGTCAAATATGATTATCGTAGGGTGATAAACTAGATTCATTAAAAGACATCTTATTTATGTTTAATTAAGCTTTAATATAGTTAAGTTTGATGACTATAGTTAGTATGTTGGGTTCATCAAACAATATGTCGTGTGAGTCCATTAGAGTTTCATTAGTTGATTCTAATGACTATAACTAGTTTGTTGTAATAATCAAATGATGTGTTATTCAATCGATATTAAAAATATAAGTTAACTCTAAAAGGAGGAATATGAATATAACTCTTGAAAGTCTTTTTATAATAAACTATCAACTAACTCACAAAGTCGTCTAATGACAAAAAGATCAATTGATAAATGAGTCATCTAATAATGTTAAAAATGTTGACTAATATCACTATAGGACACCTTCATCAATTCATCTTTATTGTGATTACATAACTTGACAAGTTAGTTGATAGTTTATTGTAAAAAGATTTCAAGAACTATATTCAAACCCCTAAAAGTTAATGATTAAATTTTTTAGACGACTTTGAAACCAGAAAGATTTTTAATATTTTTTCAATAGTATGAAAAAATTATTTTAAAATACATATGCAATGAATAATAAGTTAAAAATAAATAATAACACAATTTTTTATATTAGTTCACCCTAACTGTAGAATTATATTTACTTAAAGGGTTATATTATAATTAATTAGATCACATTAAGTATATCAAGTTACTTCTTGTTACATAAATATACAAAATCATTTCTAACTATTAACAAATACACTAAATCACTCTTGACTCATTTTAATCTTCTTTAAAAATTAAGAATAAATATTCTTTCTTATCATTTACCACAAGAATAAATATAAAAAAATCACAATATATTCTCTCTAAAAAAATATATATATTATAATAATAAAGTAATTCTTACTATTATTTTCAATCTTATATTTTATGATAAAATTAACTCACTTTATTTTGAAAAAATTAGTGCAATACATTTATATTAAACTTGCCATATCAATAATTTACTTGCAAATATTTTAAGAAAGATTCTATTTATATGATATTGAGTATTAAAATATACTTAAAATAGGTTTTCTTAAATTTTTTTTGAATTATACCTATTTGTATCTTAGATATTATAAATAAGTTAAATTATTTTCTCTCATTAATTATATTTTTAATTTATATTTTATTTTCTATATAAATATGATAATTTATAAAAGACTTTCTTCTTTAAACTGACTAAAATAAAATACATAAGTATACAAAAAATCAAAGTTTGTAATATATTGCAAAGACTAAATACAAATTCTAAACAAGAAATGTTATTTTGAAGGCAAAAAATTATGTTTGTGTTTTTTCATCGTTTGTCAACGAATGACGACGAACTGCAGCAGATTCCAGCAACAAAGCAGAGTACCCGAACATGCGCTTCACTCAAACCCTAACCCTAACCATCTTCTCGATCCCTAGCCCTACCCCTCAGTCCTCAACTTCCTCAATGCGCTCTTCCTTCCGCTCCCTCACGCTCTCTCTTTCGCATCACTTCCCTCGCCCTTTCCTCTTCCCGCCGCGGACGCGCCAATTCCCACGCCTCGCCATGACGGCACCGGAGCGAGAGGCTCTGCAGTCGGCGGAGGTGGAGTCCAGGCGGCTTCGGGGCCCGGAGGTGGAGGTGGGGGAGCTGAGCGAGGTGCCGGAGGAGTGGCGGAGGGCGAGAGTGGCGTGGCTGTGCAAGCAGCTGCCGGCACACAAGGCTGGGATGCTGGTGAAGATACTGAACGGGCAGAAGAAGTGGATGACTCAGGAAGACGCCACCTACATCCTCGTCCACTGCTTGCGCATTCGTGAGAACGAGACAGCCTTCAAAGTAAGTCTTCCTCTTCTTACCTCATTATCATGACTTCGGAATTAATTTGTAATTTCATGCTTGCGTTATTACTACCATTATGGTTTCACATGGTTGCCGAATAATCTTGCGTATTAAACTTGTTGTCAGAGGCTTAAAACTGAGCATGTGTGGAAAAAATATATGTTTGAAGTGGTTAGTCCCTTAACACGGTGTTTGTTTGAGAGGATGAAATTAGTTTAGAATGCTTGTGGGAGATAAAGATAGGAGAAACAATTTTTAAAAAGGTTGTAGGACTACTATTTATTACCTATTTATATTCATCTCTGTATCTTTAGACATCTCTGTTTTATTTGTCCTCAACTGATCAACTTTCATTTTTATTTACTTCTCACCTATTTCCACGCTACCAACTTATTTCCATCCAACGTATTTTTCTCCACTCTTGCTATAGAGCATAAATGAAAGAATTTCAATATGTAAAAAATCTATCATTGGCTCCTGACTGGAGATACCTTGGGTTAAAAAAAATAAAATAAGAAGCTTGTGTTATTATTCCAGTGTCTGAAAGCTTTTGTATAAAAACTAGTTCTTAGCCTAGGCTTTCAACCGGATGATGCTTAAGGATGGGTGTAATTCATAGCATTGTGAGTGTTAAACATTTGTACATAGACATCTAATAGGAATGCACCTTGTCGTTATATCATATTATCAATTGAGCATATAAATCAATTCTTTACCGATTTTCCATGCTATGTTTGCATCAAATAGTTTTAGTGAGAATGGACGAAGGGAAGGCATTATGAGAAGAAAGGGTAAATTATTCGGTATTGAAAATTTGTTTTAGAAATTTATGGAATTGGCGCCTTGATGAAGTTCCATTCAGGGCTTTGAAACTGGGTGTTGGCCACAATTTATTATATTTTTCGGGAATGGTTTTGCTGTTATTGGTTAACTATCAGTAGGTGGTGTGCCTAGATTTCTGAAGCTTCATGAGTGGAGGCATAAGAATGAAAACTCATTGTGTTCTTATTGGCTATGGAAATGTTTTGAACCCTGGAATGCTATGTTATTAATCCTTCCTGTGAATTGGTTGTTTACTATTTGTATCTTTCACTGCTTGGAATTGATATTTGGCTATAAATAGGCTTTTGCTTGATTACTTAACCAGAACATTTTACAAAAGCTCACCATAAGCTGTTACATTTGCTCACATGTTTGATTACTTTTTTCCCTCATAAAGGTATACAAGTGGATGATGCAACGAAATTGGTATCGATTTGACTTTGCTCTTGCTACTAAGCTAGCAGACTATCTGGGTAAAGAGCGAAAATTTTCTAAGTGCCGCGAAGTATTTGATGATATTATCAATCAAGGCCGTGTTCCTAGTGAGTCAACATTCCATATATTGGTTGTTGCGTATCTTAGTGCTCCTGTTCAAGGTTGTTTAGACGAAGCATGTGGCATTTATAATCGAATGATTCAGTTGGGTGGTTACCAACCCCGTCTTAGCCTACATAATTCCCTCTTCAAAGCTCTTGTGAGCAATCCGGGGATCTTGTCAAAGCATTACCTTAAGCAAGCTGAGTATATACATCATCATTTGGTTACAACCGGACTTGATGTGCAGAAAGATATTTATGGGGGCCTAATTTGGCTGCATAGCTACCAGGATTCCATAGATAAAGAAAGGATAGCAGAATTACGGCAAGCAATGCTACGTGCTGGATATGAAGAAGATAGAGAGGTGCTACTATCAATCTTGAGGGCCTGTGCAAGAGAAGGGGAAGTGGAGGAAGCAGAGAAAACCTGGGTCAAACTTCTCAAGTTTGAAAGTGACCTCCCAGCTCTGGCTTTTGTGTATAAAATGGAAGTATACTCCAAGGTTGGTATGCCTATGAAGTCATTGGAAATATTTAGGGAGATGCAGTCGAAACTGGCTAAAGCAGATGTTGCAGCATATAATCAAATAATAGAGATATTATGCAAAGCACAAGAATCAGAATTGGCAGAATCGATAATGGCAGATTTTGTCAAGAGTGGTCTGAAGCCCCTTACACCATCATATGTGTTTTTACTAAGCATGTACTACAATTTGGAGTTACATGATAAATTAGAAGAAGCGTTCTCCCGGTGCCTGGAAAAATGTCGTCCTAATTGTACTATATACAGTATATATCTCGATTATTTGGTGAAAATAGGTAACACTGACGAGGCTGAGGATATATTTAACCAAATGAACAGTGACGCGACTATTGGTGTTAATGCTCGATCATGTAACACCATCTTAAGTGGATACCTGTCATCAGGAAATCACTTAAAAGCTGAGAAGATCTACGACTTTATGTGTCTAAAAAAGTATGAAATCGAATCCCCATTAATGGAAAAGCTTGATTATATCCTGAGCTTGAAAAGGAAAGTTGTTAAAAGACCAATAAGCCTGAAGTTAAGCAAAGAGCAGAGAGAAATCTTGATTGGGTTGCTTTTAGGTGGTTTGCGGATTGATTCTGATGACCAAAGGAGGAATCACATTATTCACTTTGATTTTGATGGCAATTCGGGCAGCCATTATGTCCTGAAGAGTCATATTTTTCGCCAGTTTTATGAATGGTTGCATCCTACTTGTAAGCCAAGTGATAACAGTGAAAATGTACCAGATAAGTTTTGCACTATTGCAAGCTCTCATTTTGGCTTTTATGCAGATCAGTTTTGGGCAAAAGGTGAATCTACAATTCCAAAACTAATCCATAGGTGGTTGTCACCGTGTGTTCTTGCATACTGGTACATGTATGGTGGTCATCGAAATTCATCGGGAGATATTTTGCTGAAAATTAAGGGAAGTCGTGACGGTGTTGAGAACATTGTCAAAAAGTTTAAAGCCATGTCCATGGATTGTAAAGTCAAGAGGAAAGGAAGGGTATTTTGGATTGGTATTTTGGGAAGCAATTCAACTTGGTTCTGGAAATTGGTTGAGCCGTATATTATACAAGATAAAGATTTTCCTGAAGCAGGTCATGAGACGAAGGAGCAGGATGCAATGGAAACCAAAGACATTTACTTCAACAGTGATTCAGATGAATGAAAGATGATGATACTACATTAATGTATATGGTTTGGAGAGGGTTTTTGTGGAGCTTTCCTGGTCAGATTGTGCTTTTACACCTGTTTCTAGAACTCGTTTGACTTCTGTACTACTCCCGATTCTTTCTACCGAAGTCATGATTGCTATGGATGCAAAATGATGGCTTTCTGGAATATTTTGGTAGCCTTCCTTTTATAATATTCTACTTGTACATTCCTAACTATGATGCATAGAAAATTAGATAGTAGTACTGTATTATCAAGTATTCGCCATAAGAAATGAAATATGTCACTGTACTTATTCATTTTATTTAACTTGTTCGTAATTCTTTTTAAAATATTATTTATTTAAGAAATGAAAACTGATTTTTTAAAAAATAATAAAATCTGTATTTTAAAATAAAAAAAATATTTATTTAAAAAATGTAAATGTATAACCACAATTTAAAAAATTAATAAAGTTGTATCTTAAAATATTTAATTTATGTTAAATTTATTCATTAGTTTTGTAATGTTTTCAGAAAATACTCTCAAACGTAAAATATTCACTATTTTATTACAGATGTTTACATAATTAATTATTGAAAAAGGATTAATAAATATAGTTATGGAATAATTAAAAGTGTTCTCAACATATTCTAAGATAAAAATTATGGATTTCTTAATAATAAAGAATTGGTTAATAGAAGTCTTATGGAGCATGTGCTATCCATTCCCTGTAACAAAAAGGTTCTACTGGGAATGAAGCTCATGACCTTTGTTCTTTGTTGGAGACCTTTGTTCTTTGTTGGATTGAACGCTTATCAATAAATCAAAAGTTATAAACTAATAATTTTTTCTACTTAACAACATAACAGTCCAAATACCTCGATTCATTTGTAACTTAGTTCACTTGACCTCAATCACAAAATAAAATATTATAATAAAAATGTTCATCTCTTTATTGAAGAAAAAAAATCATTCAATGTATTTTTATGTTTAACTAATTAATATAATTTTAAGTTTTATAAATGATAAATTTTTTTTAAAAGACATGTTCTTCGTCTTGAGTTTGTTATTTGTGATGAGCTGGTTAACTCATATTGACAGCTATATTCAAGTTGTAATATAATAAACATAATTTATTTATATCATAAACATTAAACTACATAAACAACTGGAATTTTTACCTTCATGTTTTGTAAAAAAACTTTATAAAAAACATTACAAAAAACATGAATTTTTACTTTGCCAAAACATTTTTTGTTTCTTTTTTAATATTTACTTTCGATTTCTAGTAGTTTTTTTTTATTTTTATTTTCGGTGTTGACATGATTGATGCAAAGTAAAGAAATATTAATAGAAAAATATGTTGAACATCACTAGAAAATAGGATGGCTTCTTTTCAACATTTTGTTTAAATAGAATATATTCTTATTTAAAACTCTTGCAGAAAAAAAAAGTGATTGAGTCTAAGTAATCATATATAAATACAAATTTATTAATTAATAGATGTCAAAATAAGATTAATATAATAAATAAATTAGATTAGACAAAAAAAATTTATAATTTAAAATTAAATGAAGTTAATGTTGGTCAGTTTGCTTAAGTTGATAGACCTAGTATAAAATAATAATAATACTTTTTTATATAAAAATAAAATTAACATTTTATTAATATATATTATAAATTAATTTGATAAATAATTTACTTATTCTAAGAATAAGTCTTTAATACAAACTTATTCCAAGATTTAATAATTAAAATTAATATTTTAGATCATTAGATTACTAAAAAAAAAATGATGTTAATATCAATTAAGTTTTTACCTTTTATTTTGATGGATATATTCTCTTATAATTTATATAATAAATCATTTTACTAAAATAAAAAATAATTTCATTAATTAATTTTGAAAATACATTTTTTATTTTAATTTTTATTATTTTTTGAATTAATTCTTTTTATATAGACACATTATTATTTTTTTAATTAGGCAAACATTGATTTTTTTACTTAATGAGGTAACATACGGTAAATTAAACAAAAAAATATTATCTGTTTTAAATTATAAATCAAGTTGGACCATTAATTTCATTTTACTTGATGTGTAGGACCAAACCAATCTATGTCGAATTGTCTATTTTGACACTCTTGTTAATAAGTGAAACAAAGCTTCATGCCTCTTAAAAATAAATTTGGTGAAAAATAGTAATTTTTGTTTCATGAAATTTTAAATAAATCGAAGATGTATTTGTAAAAAATAAAAAAATAGTTTTTGTTTCTTTTTTTTCATTGTCATTGGTTCTATAAATATTAATTAGAGAAATTATAAATAATTACTACTCATAATTACAAAATATTTTATTTTCTAATGTATAGCTTGCCATAGAGGAAAACAAATCAAATCATAATTTGTTAGGTATTAGGAAAAAAAATAATGTAATTTAGGAGACAAAATAAGTCCTTATTCATATATCCCTCTAAAATTGATGTGGCTAGTCAACGAACATCAATTTTTCACAAGAAACTGGTGGCGTAACCAAGGAATAACATTGGTAAGAATATTCACAACTTGAAACTGAGTATTGATGAGGGATTGACATAATATTATCATTATAAACCAATGAATAAATTGACAATGTACTTCAATATTCTTGGTTCACTCATGGAATACTAGATTTGAAACAATTTGAATAACATCTGTATTGTCAGAATAAAGAGATGTCAGATATGCTTGAGAAATCCAAGTTCGGCCAAAAAACTACGAAGCCAAATTATATTAAAACAAGTAGTAGACACGTCACGATCTTCTAATGTAGTAGATAATTTAGAAATTTGTGTTTACTTCTTACTTTTCCATAAGATCAACAAGGTTAAATGATACTGGTACATTTTAAAAAATTAGAGTATATGTCACCAATGTCAATTACAGGAAGAATATTATCATCAACAATTTGAATTGTTTGAGAACTATGATAAGAATGCATATTGTATAAGCATTTGGAAGAAGCCATCATATAATTGGATGCACCATAATCAAGAAACCACGGATTAAAGATAGTAGAAGACTTACCCTAAATGTTTAATGCTAAAAGAGTTGAAAGTACCAATTTTAGAATCATTTTATATTATAAAACACTAGTATTAGATGCATCACGACTAAGAGGACAAGTTGCAATATTGGTACTAGCATGAAATGCTTGATCAGAATGATGTGTTTTTCTTGGTGGATGCATAGAACAATTAAATATATGATGACCTTTTTGTTTGTAGTAATAACAACATTTTTATCTACAATTACGAGTAATATGTCCAATTATTTGCAAAAAAGAACATTGGACCTGTCACATATCACAACTTTCGATTGTGCTTTGGGTATTATATAAAATTTTCATAGGTTTCAAAAGAGCAACATCATAAGTCATGGATCCTTGAGTAAGTAAATGTTATTCTTCCGTAAGATGTTCACCAACACATGTATTCGAAGAAGAAACATGGTTCCTATTCAACAAAGAACCTACCAACTTCAAACTTCAAGTGAAATTTGAAAAATTTATCTCACTTATTAGTGTTATATAGATCTTGGATAAGAGTAAATACTGGAGAATAAAAACATATAAAATGATAGAGTGGTCTATTCACATATTAAAAAAACTAGAATAATACTATTGAATTGATAAATTACCTTATTTATAATTGGCTATATCTAATTACAATTAAAAATATTTGAATGTATTGTCTTGGTTGCAAATTTGTTTCAAATATTCCCATATTTTTTGAACAATTTAGAAAGAGTGTATTAATCATTTGGTGATCAACAATACTAAAAATCTAAGAAATAATTTAGACATATTTTACTTCCCATAATATCTACGGTTGTTTGCTCAGTGGTAGAAAACATCCATTTAGATGACCCTATAATCTTTTCCCTTCACTGTTACAATAACAACACTTGTTTTGAAACTGTCATTGAAAGAGACATAATTGAAAATTAAGAGAATCAACATCGACTCTAAAGGGAATTGATGTTGAATGTTAACACTTTCAACATCGGTTCTTTTATAATCGATATAGAAAGATTTTTATTTTTTTGAATGTTTGTTATTTTTTCCACTTATAAATAAAATTCAATTAAAAAGCAAACATAAAAATTGTCAAAAAAATATAAAAAGTCCCAAATAATTATAAAACAACATCAAATAATATATAATTTTAAATTTTAATAATTCACAAATAAATATTTAAATAACAATTACAACAATCAGATGATTACACAAGGAAGGATGACAAGATCATGATGGAGGATAGGGCTATAATAAAGCATAAGTATAAGACAGGACGATAGAGGGTGAATACGTGACAAAGAACGAAGACATATAAGTTGGATGAATGATGTGACAAACGGGGAGAGACATAACGAATGACGTTGTAGATGATGCAATAGAGGCCACAAGGATGTGACAGAGGATACAATGAAGGATGCAATGGGGTCACGCGGAGGTGGCAAAGGGTGTGAGAATGTGATGGAGGTCATGAAGACACAACGAATGACATGATAGAGATCGCGAAGACACATTAGTGGGCACAAAGGTGACGTAACAGAGGGTGCAATGAACAACGTAAAGGACACAAGGATGCAATAGAGGCCGAGATAGAGATGCGATTGAAGGTGACATGGGGACATGGTAGAGGGCGTGGTGGAAGGCACAATGGAGGTTGAGCGTGCAATGGAGGTTAAGGGTGCGACAGAGGGTGTGAAGAAAAGAATCATTTCGTAGAAGAGAAACATGTTTAAGGTTTAAGGTATAGAAGAGAATAAGAAGAAAAATCGTTTTGTAGAAGAAAAGTGTTTTACAAAGTTATAAAGGACTTTCTTCATCGGTTATATTGTAATCGATATAGAAAGTCACATTCAGCCTCAGTTCCTCAAAGAACCAATGTCAAATGTGACTTTTTACATTGGTTACAATAGAATCAATGTTGAATGTGACTTTCAACATCAATTATAATACAATCGATGTAAAAATCTTATCCTAAATTGCAAATTTGGCACCGCATCTTTTTCTACATTGGTTCATTTATAATCGATATTAAATGGTATGGTTAAAATTTTTGTTGTTGTAGTACTTTGACATACATCTTAGATTGAAATTTCAAGTTGTATAACTCTTCCATTAAATCATATACAAAAGTTGTTTTTCTCTAAAGTTGTCATAACGATGGGGAGCAAGATAGACATAATAAAACAAACATTCAAGAATCACAAGCGAGAATAGAAATACAAGCGTGAGCAAAAACAAATATAATAAACACAAGTAGAATATGTAATACAAACAAAAATAGGAACCATAAAATGGAGGAATTATTGAATATGAACATGACATGAGAGTAGAAACCTTAAGCTTGGTCCAAAAAACTTTGAACGGAGACTAAAAAACCAATATTGTATAAGAACCAGTTTGATATCATGTTAGAAAAATGACTTTTATTTCAGCTCTATAAATAATTACTACTCATAATTACAAAGATTTTATTATTTGATGTGTAACCTCCAATTGAAGAGAACAAATTAATTCATGAATTGTGAGATTTATTATTAGAAAAACAAAATAATGTAATTTAAGGAACAAAATAACTCCTTATTCACAATATCATACCTAGTTCTCCCTTTTAGTATTCAAAACACCAAGATATAGTAACATTATCTCTAGATGTTTTTTCTTGTGTCATTTCTCACACTTTGCATCCATATTACAATATAGTAAACATCACATCACATATGTATACCATAAATATTATGCAACATAAATAACTATAATGTATTGTAAAAAAATCACAGATAATAGAAATTTTTACCGTGCAAAACATTCTAGTTTTCTTTTCTAAACATTTATTTCATAATTATAATAATTCTTTTTTACAATACTGACATGTTTAATGCAAAGTAAAAAGATAAAAATAACATCTTTAAACTATAAATGAAACAATGATCAACTTTGGACAAAAGAATCACCTTTCATAGATGAAATCATTTTGAACATCTCTAAAAGTTTCGAGTGCATTTGTAACATTTTGACAAAGAAAAAATTGTTATTTGAATTGCTTCAATTTAAGAAAATAATGATTAAATCTACATAATCACATAACAAATACAAATGTATTAATAAATGAAATGAATATTTGTATCTTAGACAACAAATCCCATGGACAAAAGTAATTTGTTTGGTGAAATCGAAATAAACCTAAAGACTTTGCCAAGATATTCTAGTTTTCCTTTTTAGCATTGAAAACATAGGTGGAATCCCTATTAATGTGAGAAAGTGTTTTGAAATTTCATATTAATTAAAGAAATTATAATATTATAGTACACAATAAGGTACAACCCTCACCTTACTAATCACTTTTGTAGGATTGAGTTAAATATATCTTTATTTCTAATATATTGTTAGAATCAACTTTAGTAATATTGGGACGTTATTTATTAATAGTTATTGGACTGATATTGGACCACCTGTCTTTGATGTAAGCGGGTATAATAAAAATTTCTCTTATGTGAGGGGATATGATGAAATCCCTTTCAATATGAGGGTGTATTGAAATCTTATATCAACTAAAGATACAATAATATTATAGTACATAAGTGAGGTATAAACCTAATCTTACAAGCCAGTTTTATAAGATTAAGTTAGATATCTCTCCATCTCTAACAAAAAATAGAATAACGTTACCTTTAGATTTTTGTTCTCATGTCCTACACCCTCTATTTAGATTGCAATATAGTAAACACCACACATTTATAACAGTTACAATGACACAATCAGGTTAAACAAAATAAACATATAAAATTATGACAAACAATTATAATTTTTCTACTTATCTATTCAAAACACCAAGATAGAGAAATTTAGTGTATAAGTTAAAGGAAAACATGTTTTGTTTTTGGACCTCGTGCTTTTGAGCATTTTGAGCTTGAAACGTAAGTGTGAGAGGAGAGATAAGGTATGTGAGCTTGTGGGAAGGAGACAAACCTATAAATGAGTAGAATGTGTAGAGAAGTGGTGAATTGATTTAATAGTGATACATATAATGTGGTTATTTTTAACTAAGAATAGTTATGATTTGAAATAATTACTTTGTGGGAGAAGATTAAGTCTTGTATGCTTATAAGTCAAGTAATAATAAATTGTATTTGTTGAATTGCATAATGAATTTAATGTACAAGAAAAGTTTTTCCATTTTAGATCATTTAAATGAGTATTGAATTTGATGATTAAGTTTTGAAACTATAACCATTGAATACTTTACTAGAGTCTTGGGAAATATTTTAATTTTTTATTACAAACTCAGTGCCTAAGGACATTATTTCTTTCCAAATGATAAAGAACGATATTCTTAATAGAGAGATGGGAAGACACATGAGTCTTTATTACAGTTTGAATTACTTGTCACAAAAAATAGGCGAAGAAGTAAGAAAAAGGAATAGAAGGATGGTAGAAAGTAGGAACACGTCCAAATCAATATACAAAAATGTAAAATGTCATTATTATAATAAACTTTGACACATCTCTAGATATTGTTTTAAGTGAAAAAAAAGAACAAAAATAAGAAGAATAAGCAAAATAAATTGATCATGATGATCATATTACTACTAAATTAAATCAAATATATTTTTTTTATTTAAAAGTCAAGCTTGTTAACCTGACTTATCAAATTTCATAATTTTTTTAAAATTTATTAATTTTAATAAATTAAAAAAATCGCTAAGCTTTACCCTTACAAGAACATAAGTAGTGATCATATTATGCGATAAAGATCCAACAAACCACTTCAAAAACAATTTGAGAACTTTGGAGATTCCGTAACTAAGTCCAAGACTAAGAGAGAAAAGTAATTTTGGCAAGGCGTGACGACTAGGGGTATCAATATGGGTTCTAACTCGTCAGCCAACCCGGCTCACCATGGGTTCGAGCCGGTTGGGTTTGATTTTCTTTATTTCTATCGATTATGGGTTAAAAATGAACCCGACTCACTTAACCTACGGGTTAAACGGGTTCGAGTCGAGTTATGGTGGGTTGGTCCGCAACCCACCATTAATTTAAAATTTTAAAAATAATTATAATAATATATTAACCTTAATTAATCATTTATTTTAAACTTTAAAAATAATTATAATACTTTAATAACCCTAATTGATGTTATCCTATCTTACCTCTACCCTACATTGTTGGTTGTTGCCACAAGTCAAACCTTCACTTAAACTTGTTATCAGTTGTTCGCTGCACCACTACGTTTGCTACTGCATTTGGGTCACTTATCTTATTATCTCGTCCACCGCACCACTACACCATGTCCACAACTTTCAAAGGTAAGAATTTGTTTCATAACCTAAACTGTTGGATTAATGAATCTTTATTTGAAAATTGTAGCATCGATACATTATTTGTTGTTTATTATTGATTTATACGTATATCTTTTTAATATATGAATTTTTTATTTCTTTCTTTTAAATTAATTTACAATATGAAATCTAAAACCATACATCAAAGTATCAATGTAAATTGTATTGGTGATGATTTTATTATTAATGAAAAACTCAATGAACCAATTTCAGTTAATAATCGAAGATACTCGATGTTGAGAAAGAGAGGAAAAAATCATAAGTTTTTATATCCGAAGTTTCTATATAATTTAAAAAATTAAAAGAATATAGGTTAGTAAGTCAACCCACCTAACCCACCAATCCGTAATGGGTTGAGCCGGTTTATAAAATTTCTAACTTGCCACAAAGTGAGTCGATTTGAGCTCACTTATTTTCATATGAACCCCTACTGTTTTTATTCCAAAAAATTTCAATGATGCATAAAACAACAACAAATTAATTCGCGGCAGTGCAACAGTGAATCACACACAAACATGATATTAATATTATTATTATTATTATTATTATTATTATTATTATTATTATTATTATTATTATTATTAATTTTCACAATACTGGGTATAGTTTAGGGTTTTGCGGGATAAATGGCGTACCATGTTTGGACAAAAGTTAGGACAAGACCTACAATTGCAGCGTTGAATGCAATGATGGCCCAAGGGTTGCTGAAATATTTAGTATACGCAAGAGCCACCCAAGTCCTACCTTTATCTTTGTAATGCCTCTCAATGTCACCTCTAACATCAGCATATTGCGCCATGTTAGGCACTAAGTCAGTACTAAGGGTGTTGAAAAGGTTAGCCACTTCCTCATCACTCCCTAGTGAGTTCAGCAGAATTTTTTCTGATCTCAATTCCTTCACATCATCGGGGTGATCTATGAGTGAGTCCAAGAAGGTCACATAAGAGCTAATCCCATAGTCATTCTCAAAATCAGGACACATCTCATACGCTATCAGGTTGAGCACAGTAGCAGCTATTGTGTCATCAACAACGATCTCAGGTAGCATCAATGTTGAATGGAACACACCATAGTGGAAAGATACATCTCTTGGTCTACGTGTCTTGCTTGACTTGAATCCAATACCTGCCGCTTTCAACTCCTTTATGTTCCTACACAATTCAGACTCTCATCGTTAAAATCTTGTTTCTCAATCATTTATCTTTCTGTTCTTATTGCTTTGCTTTGCATGCACCAGAGGCACCATGATCGTCAAGAGTCTACTAGTTAAGGTAGTATCAATGCAAGTTACACTGGAAATAAATATACAATTATTTTTCATATTTTTTAAATTCTAACCACTGAAACTAACAAAAAAATTGAAAGACAACTATATCTATAAGAACATATACATGTTTAGCGCTTGCGGAAAGTTTTAAACAGCTTAAAAAAATTCGTTGAAATATGAAAGACTGATAACTTCAATTTACTTAAAACATTTATATGCAATACAATAAACATATATATAATAAGTAAACATTGTCTCTTAATATATAAAAGGTAAAGATGATTTTTGTATAAATTACTCTTAGAAATTATTTTCTTTATGTTACTCTAATGATAGGGTCGTATATAGCATCTCATACCCATCTAAAACTACTTAATATCCAGAAGAAGAAAACAAATGACAAAATAGAAAAATCTTGATGGTGTTTATAAAAAGAAAGGTGATATAATAGCAATGGTATGAGAAAAAAAATTACGAAACAACTTAATTTATTATTATAATAATCATAAACAAATGTTATTAGAAAAAAAAATTAAAATTATTATTATATTATTAAATAAAGTTATTGAATGGATGATAGTTAAAAAATGGGTGTGAATGAATCTTTTTCCAGATCAAAAGGCATATATTCTCATATCATCGGAACAGATTAAACCGTACCTGTATGTGATCATGTCCTCGGTTGGAGTCTTACGTCCCTTTCCTGTGTTTTTATTTGGAACATTATGTTTTCCCTTGTTTTTTTCCTCCTTAGGTTCATAGAGGATGATAGAGCGTTGAAGGTCGAGAAGATGAGTAGGGAATTCCTCTTCCAATTTTACCTTGTCTTCATCTTTGGTGGCCCAATGGTGGCAATGAAGAAACTCTTGCATGGTTTTCATCAACTTTTTGTCGGTGTCCCTCCACAGAAGATTCAGCAACAGGAACGGAAGCTGGTTCTCTAGCAGAAGCACGTCCTGCATCACAAGTACAAGCTGGTCAACCTTCAAGTTCATTTTCTGCGTTGGGTCGAGCTTCGCATGTTCCAGAATATGCAGCAGCGCGCACCCGTCCACGAACAGCGTCCAATTGATCATTTCCCACTTAGTTCTAAAACCATGTTTTTGGTACTCTGAAAACGTTTTATTGTCGGTGAAAAGATCCTCCTCAAAGAGGAGCTTCAGGGTTTCGATATTTTCTTCAACCTTTCTGTGCAGTTCTTGTGGGGATTTTCCGGTGCTGTCGATGTACAGTGCTGCCCACCTTTTCTTGTACCGTTCTCCCAGTTGTAGTTTGGGATCACCATGATGGATAAGACCAAATGACAGTAACTTAGGAAAGTAGTGTTTGGCGAAATGCTCTCGGGTACGGAGATGGCGTGTTACACATTGGATTTTAGCGTTTCGGGGGGCTTGTGATGCTGCTTCTTTTGCTTTTTGCAGCTGCTCGAACATTTTTTGAATGTTGAGGTTTGGAGTGGGTCCAAACATTTTGTGACGATAAGAAAAAGAAAAATATTTGTGGGTGGGTAGTTGGGAGAGGCTTGGTGAGAGATTGATTTGATGGAGTAAATAGATATGGTTTGTGGATTTATAAGGAATTTTTGCATCTGAATAAAGTTTACTTGTTCATGTATTATGAGTAAATGCTACACAAGGAATAAGGATCCCTGACTTTTTTATCTAGAGTTTTATATGGTAAAGGTGATGATTCATCACTTTTAACTCTTACTGGTGCACAAGACGGTGTATGAAGTTAAGAACAATATTCATGATACGTGGACAACTTTTTTCTTTATATATAATTATCTTATACTTTATTTTAATAATATAATAATAATAAATATAAAATCTTATTATTATTGTATTATTAAAATGGGTTATAAATCTGTCTATATATTTTAAGAAAAATATAATTCAAAATGTCGCATTTTTTATACATGGAGTTCAATTATATTCCTTTATTTTTAGACAGTTAAAGATTGAACATTAATATGCTAAAATTATTAAAAAATTATATTTAATTATATATTTTAGTAAACCTTACAAAATCCATAGAAAATCTATAAGAAGTTCATCTCATATAATTTTTAATAAAAAAATTGTAGGACAATTTAAGAAAAAAATGTAATGGGCTTTATATATATATATATATATATATATATATATATATATATATATATATATATATATATATATATATATATATATACACATATAATAGCATTCTGACTGTACGGAAGTTGTCTTCGAATTTTATCACATTTTTTATTTCATTATGTGAATTATAAGTTACAAATAAAGTACTTCACGGTCGATCACTTCAGCAAATTTATGTTCCATAAGTTTTTCTTCTTCTTTTTTAATTATAAAAATACATAAATTTAAAATAAATATAGAATATACATAAATTGTATTTTAAAATATGACTTCTAATGAAACATCTTATTTTAAAATATGGATTTCAATAAAAAAAAAGATATTGTGTTTTAAAACTGATTATTTTTAAATAATAAATGTGTATTTTAAAATTAACCACAATTTAAATTTGAAATTATGTTATAAAAAATAACCTCAATATTCTTTTGAATCAATAAAAGCGTATGTTTTAAAATATGAATTTATTATTTTAAAAATAATAAAGTCGAATCTCAAAATATCTTCCCTATTTTATATAATTTTTTTAAATTTATTATTATTTTCGTAATTTTTTAGAAAATACTCCCAAACTTAAAACTATATATCCACCGCTTTATTACAGTTGTTTAACATATTAACTGGTGAGAAGGAATAATAAATATGAAATAACTAAAGAATTATAAAAGTATTTTCAAGATATTCTAAAATATTAGTCTTTTTGATAAATATTTTATCCATTAATTTTTAATAAGCTTTCTAGTATTTTTCAATTCAAAAGTATTATTTTATAGTAAAAATTAGTTTCTTTTTATGTTGCAGTTTTATATATATATATATATATATATATATATATATATATATATATGAATTTGGTTATAATTAGATTATGCATTAAAAAACTAAGAATTTTATATTTAGATATATTATCTATTACCTTATCTATATTATTGGGTAAATGGTAAAAATATTTTGTACATGCTCTATTTGGATTAATATAATCAACGGACATACATCACTTGTTATTATACTACATTAGTTAACCAAGTGGTATATTTCACTTCTTTAATAAAATTAATTTTTGGTCATTTTTCGATGTCTTATTTGATTACGTCTTTCTTCTCTTAATTTTCTTTTTCTTTTATTTATAGGTTTCACACTATGCGATATAGTAAGTTTATGACAAATAAAGTCTAGAGCAATACCTAACGTATCTGTTGCACTCCAACCAAAAAGATCAACATTTTGTAGTAGTATTTCTTCTATTTGACTTTGAAAATAAGCTTTTATTCCTTCTCTAATATGAGTTGTTTGTTAGGGATGTAGTACGATTTGAAAATCGGAAATTAACTCATCAAGATTGAACAATTATTCCTTGACTCATGTTAAGGATCAACATCTATTTCTTCAATGTTATTGACAGATGGTTGTTGAAAGCAATCTCATACTTACTTTACAGAGTAGGACCAAGTTTTTAGGTTGAGTGCATAACATTAATTCTCTTGCTTCTTTGGAATCTGCTTTGATTATTACTATGCATCCTCCTTCACTAGGGAACTTCATGGTTATATGTGGAGTAAAAACAATGGCTCCGAGCTGATTTAACATCCTTCTTCCTATCAACTTTTATTAATATATACCTTATTAGGTGATTTTTTCTTTCTTTGTCACTTCCAAAAGTTGTCAATAGATCGATGTATCCACATGTATGAACTCTTTCTCCAACAAATTTGACCAACGAATCAAGATATGGTTGTATCAAACCATGTTCAAATGTTCATTTTCAAGAAAGTGGTCCAATAGAGTATGTTAGTTGAACTTCCTTAATCTATTAATGTTTTCTTCACTACCCAATTGACAAAATAGATAGTGACTACCATTGAATCATCTTGCACATGATCGTTTGAACCAAAATCCTTACCCTTAAAAGTAATAACAGGTACTGTTCTCAGTTCCTATGACTGAGTTACATTAATATGATTTATAGCTCTCAAATGTCATTTTCGCGCAGAACTTGTACTTCCTCCTCCAACAAAACCCCCCGATAGTATTAATGACTCCTCTCACTTGTCCTTTATCATTTATAACGTTTTGGGGGTGGTCACTTGTTAATTATCCTTCCATTCTTTGATAATTACGTCTTCTTCCTCATCCTCAGTTGCGATGACCTCTGTAATGACCTGAATTATAACCTCAGTCATGCTTGTAATGTTTACTGAATCAATCTAAAGTCCCTTCCCGAATAAGATCTTCTAAAATTTCTCGTACACTCTTGTAAGTTTCAGTAGTATGTCCATAGTTTTGTTGTCATACACATGACCTATCTGCATCTAGAAGGTTATAAAGGGTTTTGGTAACTTGATAAGCTCCAAATTACAGACTTCTGAGAGAACTATTTTATTGTTGGCATTAAGAGAAGTGAATTTCCTTTCTTCTTTTTTGTCTTCTTTCATATATCCACTACTACAAAATATGCTTTCTACACCCAAAATTCACTTAAATTTGAAAATTGTCACTGGCAGGATTCGAACCCAGGATTTTAGATTTGAAAATTGATACTTCAACCACTAAACTACTATAATTTTATGATAATAACTTACAAATAAATTATATTTATATAAAAATAAATATATATATCCATGTAAATATATATTTATTTATATATATTTTCTGGAAAGTATTTTTATTTTTTTTTCAACCAAAAATTCACTTAAGTTAAAGATTTGTCACTCGACAACATTTGAACCTACTATTTTAGAGTTGAAAGTTAATATCTCAACCACTAAACTACTATAATTTTTTTATAATAACTTACAAATAAATTATATTGGTATTTTTCAATCGAGGGTGAAAGTGGGATTGACTCTCGCTTGAGTGAAAAATATGTTAAAGCTCACGGAAATTCAATTGCTCAAGCATCGCTTGAGCGAAAATTGGTATTTTTTGCTTGAGAGTGAATGACGTGTTTCCCAAATTTATTTTATATCATTATATAAATAAAATTATAAAGATTATATTCTGTCATTAAATTACAAACTCATATAATATAAAGATATCTCGCTCACAAATTTAGCATCAAATTTTGAAAATCCACTCGACACACACTTTCACCTTCGAACGTGCCCTCACATCCAACATATAAATATATAAATATATAACTATATAAATATATCAAAATATATAAATATATTTGTATTTATATATTTATATATTTACACGGATATATATTTATTTGTATATGAATATAATTTATTTGTAAGTTATTATTAGAAAATTCTAGTAGTTTAGTAGTTGGAGTATCAACCTCCAACTCTAAGGTACTGAGTTCGAATCTTGCCAATTACAATTCTCTTAAAAAATTAATAAACTTCTAAAACATATAATATAAATAGATTGGGGACCTAATAAAAATATAATATAAAGAGAGGGGAGACTTCTAGATAAATAAAAAGGGTAAAGGGGTTGTAAATAAATAAAAATTATTGATTTGAAAAATCATACTTTCAACGTCGCCTGATACAATGTCGGTTCAACAACCAACGTGGAAAGCTTTATTTGTAGTAGTGATCTCTTTTCTGAGTCATACCTATTAAGATGAACCTTCTTTCCCTAACAACTTTTTTTTTTCTGATCTCATTACCTTTTTCTAATTACATAAACTAAGTAAATCACATTCTAATCTCCTATATGGATTCACGGTAATCCATGTATATACTATCTAAAATTGACTTCTAGATAAATAAAAAGGGTAAAGGGGTTGTAAATAAATAAAAATTATTGATTTGAAAAATCATACTTTCAACGTCGCCTGATACAATGTCGGTTCAACAACCAACATGGAAAACTTTATTTGTAGTAGTGATCTCTTTTTTGAGTCATACCTATTAAGATGAACCTTCTTTCTCTAGCAACTTTTTTTTTTTTTTTCTGATCTCATTACCTTTTTCTAATTACATAAACTAAGTAAATCACATTCTAATCTCCTATATGGATTCACGGTAATCCATGTATATACTATCTAAAATTGGTTTAGCTAAATTAAGGTTGACTTCATTAAATTAAGGTTGACTTCATTAAACCTCTTCATGAATTTCCTTAATGATTCCTCTCTTTCTTGCCTTATCCCTTGCAATATGAGCGATGTCAGTCAATGTGGCCTTGTAGCTGCAAAACTGGCTCAAAACTTTTGAATTAACGCTTCAAATGAATCTATTGACCTGAAGGAAAGATTATAGAACCATTTGAGGGTGACACCTCTAAGAGTAATGGGAAAATCTATGCATAAAAGGGTGTCATTCTCCTCAAATATAGTGATTTTAGTCAAGTAAGACAGAATATGCTCGTCCGGATCTAACCCACCACCAAACCTTTCCATTGTGGATGTTTTCCACACATTGGGCAAGACTTCTACTAAAATAGTTGGAATGAATGGGCTTGCTATTTTCATTCAATATTGTCCACTACAAGAAATTTTTAATATTACCGACGGTCAAAATCCGTCGGTAATATTTTACTTATATAGCTTATTTATTTTATAGAACCACGTCCCTACCTTTATTTTTTTCTTATTTATTATTAATTATTTTCCCTTATTACATTTTTATAGCTTATATTTACTTATATAGCTTATTTATTTTATAGAACCACGTCCCTACCTTTATTTTTTTCTTATTTATTATTAATTATTTTCCCTTATTACATTTTTATAGCTTTATATGTCATTGGCAGGATTCAACTCGATACCTTAGAATTAGAGGCTAATACTCCAACCACTAAGCTACCGAATTTTCTCGATAATAATTTACAAATAAATTATATTTATATATTTATATATAATTAAATATTTATTTTTTTAAATTATTTAATTTAAGAAATTATTATAAATTAATCTAATTATGATTAAATTAAATTATTAAATAAAAAATATTTAATTTTTTAATTAGGTGAATATTTACTAATTGTTAATTTACCGACTGAAATATCTCGTCTGTAATTTACAGATGAATTTACCGACTGATATATCCGTCAGTAATTAATTGTTAATTTATTGACAAATTTACCGACGGATATATTTGTCTGTAAATTTATCCGTAAATTACCGACGGATTTATCGACGGATATATCCGTCGGTAACTAATTATTATTTTACCGACGGATATATCTGTCGGTAAAATCAAATTCCACAAATATTTTATATCCGTCGATAATTTCCGTCGGTAATAATTATTTTCCGACGGTTACAAATCCGTCAGTAAATATCTGTCGGTAATACGCGATTTTCTTGTAGTGGTCTTGGAACATGATGAGTCTTTTTAACTTCTTCGTACTCGATTTTAGTTTAGCTTCATTTATCACATCAAGCCTATTAGATTCTCCCTCTATCTGAACATGATCCTTACGAGAGGGCAATTGGTATCACGATTGAGATTGATAGCGGGATGAATGAAGATGCCTTGAAAGGGATCAAACTAAAGCTCGTAATTGCTTTACCACTTCAACATTATGTTTTCTGAAAGTCTCCATTTATTCTTCACTATGTATCTATTCTATTAGATTGAATTTTTCTTTGTTTTTCTTTTGCACTTCCTCCATGTAGAATTTCAAAGAATTGAGAATATGCTCTACATTCATTCTAACAAATTAAGATTATCAGTAGATGTGGTCTGATTTATATTTCACTGGCTCTGGTGATTAGGGAAAATAAAGAAGTCCACCTGAGAAGACACTCTGATGCTTAAGTTAGTATATGATATTTTTTTAAAATATGTCTTTGTCATATGAAATAATATAATTTATAAACTTTTTACCAATTTTATTTTGAATAATAAATATTAATCATTAATATATTTAATTAAAATATTAAATGAGAAGATTATTTGTACATTATTATTCTCATAATAAATATTAATAATCATTTGATATAATTAAATATAATTATTTGGATGAAATATTTGTTAAAGTGATCTAGAATATTAAATTGTGAAAAAAATAATAAATATAAAATAATTAAAAGAATTATAAAATATTTTCAACATATTCTATAATATATATATATATATATATATATATATATATATATATATATATTCTTAATCGCGAGGAATTATTTGTCTTTTAAATTTTTTTTACAAGAATAAAAATAATAATGTATTTTTTTTATTCTAAGAACATAGTTGTTTAGTTTCGTATTAGATTTCTTTGTTTAGCTTAATAAATAATAAATAAATAAATAAATGAAAAAAATATTACGCTTAAAATAGAAAGATGTATTTAATGGTAGTAGCCAAATATAAAAGATATAGGACTTGTTATACTTGAATATTAAAAAATGGACCTGATACATGGACAACCCATTTCCCGTCCAATCATTCAACAATTCTATTATTATTAATAATAATAATAATATAAATAAAATATTGAACTTTTATTAATTTTATATTAATTAAATAAGTTGTTAAAAGGATATTTGGTTAAGTTTAGATGTGATGATATCATTTATCTTTAAGAAAATTGGATTTAGTTATATCTATCCAGTTCATGGAGAAAGAGTACAAAACTTCTTCTAAACCTTTTTCTTGAATATACGTAAGTACCTTGAAAACGAAAGTAGCTTCACCTGTCCAACTGTCACATTACCCGTGGCACCGTCCTTTTGTCTCTCACCCACACATTCAAAAGCCTCCAGAAAATTTGATCACCAACTCCTAATCAACTTCATTTTCGAATCACTTTTTTTCTCCTTATATTTTCCAAATCTTCACATATAAATGCCACTCATTATGGCACCAAGGACATAGAAAAACTAAAACCATTACAGAAAATGGAAACAATGTTGAGGGCACTATGCTGCATTGCCTTTCTGATCCTATTCACATGTATGCCAAGAGGAAGTGCTCAAGATAGCTCTTGCCTCAACAAGCTTTCACCTTGCCTAAGCTACCTCAATGGCAGTGAAGACCCACCTGATAGTTGCTGTGAGCCTCTCAAATCTGTGATTGAATCAGATGCAGAATGCCTGTGTAGCTTGGTGAGCAACAGAGGCACCAGGCAAGCAGAACAAGCTGGCATTAACATCAGTGAGGCTCAGCAATTGCCTGGTAGATGTGGCCAACATGTTAATCCTTTGTCCTGTCTCACAAGTATGTTTTCCTTCCAATACTTTTATATATTATAACTTCTATTACTTTTGTACATCATAAGTGTTTCACTATACTCATAACTAGACTATTACGACTTATAAGGACAAGATAATTAATTTTTTTTTTAATTTATTAAGTTTCGTCTAAGGAATATGAAAAATTGGTTCTGAAAATAGTATAAACCATTTTTAGTTTATTATTGAAAAATTATATAATTGATTTTTTTATAAGTAATTTAAAAATCATACTTCCATTTGCATAATTATTTAACTCTATAATAAAAGGAGATAATAAAAAAATGTTAAAAAGAAAAAATCTATTGGCAGTGGATTATATTTTGTATCTTGATTCATGTTGCAATTTTAGTACTGTCGCTTTAAATATAAAATAAATCATGATTAAAAATATATATAAAGTATGTAATTTTAAAGTTCGTAACGTTATTATTCATTATTTTCGACTTCGAGTCATTTCGAGGTGTAAAAAAATAATGTTTGTATGTTTTATTTCAGGTTCACCTGGTCCAAATAACTCAGACAGAAACTCAGCAACAGCAACAAAGTCGATGCACGTGTCTAGTGGAATTGTTATGATGATATTTGTTTTGTCATTATTCATGTGTATAAATAAATAGCTTCATTTTTGGGACTTAGTGTCAGATTTTCTTCCTGTTATGTATTAAGGAAGTGGATTATAAATTGTTGAACGTTGAAATATACATCTCGATTTTTTATTTGGTACGAGAAGAAAAATTTCGAATCACGGATGATTAGAAAAAAGTTATTATTATAATAGTTTGTTTTTTAATGAATTAGAGAAGGAAAAACAATAATTTTATGTTAACTAAAAGAATTAATTTTTTATTTCATTCTTTTTTTCGCACGATATAAAATTATTTTATACTTTCTAAAATACTAGTATAAAAATTATTTATTTTTGTTAAAAAATATAAAACAATTTTGCTATGGATTGAATTTCATGTAAATAGAAATATCCATTTTATATAAATTATAGGCTTATTATTTTATAATTAATTTTAAAAATGTTAAAGTATTTTTTTTGTCAACTTTTTTTAAGTGACTTTTTAAATAACTTATTTTTTTTACATTAATTATTAGATTATTTAAACACGTATTTATTAGATAAATTTCACATTTATTAAATTAATTATTTAAAACAATTTATTCTTATAAGTTTACAAAATATTTTAGAGTATTAGGTATCTGTAAATTGCACACCATTTGTCCGTGGATTCATTTAAACCTAAATGACTTGTCTAGCAAAATACTTTAAATTAAATATTTAATTAATCAATTTCTAATCTTGATTCTTATTATATGAGCATTTTAAAATCTTATAAATATAGAATATTAAAAAAATATTTTTATCTTTATTTAATAATTTTTTTATTCTCATTTAATAGAAAAATTATTTTATTAATTTACACATATTATAACCTATTTTAAATTATAAATGATTAAAAATTTGTTTTTTAAAAATAATATCCAAATATCAAATATGTCCTTAATAAAACTTAAACAAAATAAAAGAAGTTCTCGAAAAAATTAAGTAAAAAATATCTTCTTCTATTAAAAAGTCTTTCAATAATTTTTTTAACCTAATTTTTATATTATAAAAAAAGTATGCACCGCCAAAGTTTTTATAAGACGTGTTATTTATAAGTAATTTATTTGCTTAATATCTTTTGATTGAACATGTTTATATATATTTTTTTGTTTTTCATTTCAACCACATTCACGTTTATTCTTATGGAAACACTTTGTCTTATATCCTAATTGTCTTTGGATCACTTTTTCTTATTATGGAGAAACTGTCTTTGTAAAACATGTATATGTTTCACAATTAATCAAACATGAATATAATAAATAATCATCTCAAATATTAATTGAATTCGTGTTACCTATAATCTTCTTATTTGTTTATATAATTTGAAGTGTTTCTACTTTTAAATTAAGATAGGTCTAGTTTGAGATATTCTAAATTAAGAAATCAAAATATTCTTGAAGGTAGACAATCTCTCAACCTTGAGAGATATATCATGATGAGACTTATATTATGAATCAAAATCTTATAGATGATAAATGACTTCTAATTAACTTCAAGATATTATAAGGACTCAAACATTTAATCACTTTTAAGAGATCCAAATATTTCAAGAGGACACAAATTTTTAGCATTTAATGATATATGATGACAAGATTCTATTATACATGATACTTTTAATATTGATTTTATCATCGACACAGGTACAATTGACGTAGAAAGTATTAATTTTTTATGTCAATTTTAGAGCTAACATAAAAGATTAACTTCCTATGTCAGTTAATTTTTTAACATCATAAAAATATGAAACAATAATGAAAAATATATTAGTGTTGTTACCTTTTTTGTGACTGTTGTTTTCATAACCATCATAGAAAATATCACTTTACACTTTCTATGTCATAATTGTCATAAAAAATATAACTTTTTATAACTATTGGGGCCTTAATCGACATAAAAGTAACACCTTCTATGATAGTTAAGGAAATAATTATCATAAAAAGTGTCAATTTTTTTAAAATACTTTGTTTGTTTTATTAATTAACCTTCCTACGAGATAAATGAATATACTTTCAAGTAGATATATTTTATACCCAATGAAATTAGGTGAAAAAATTATAATTTAATGATATATTTAATATTAATGTATTAAAAGTACATATAAACAAACATTGACTATAATACTTAATTTATATCAATCATTCAAAGTCAAATAATTTACAAACTAAAAATACTTAAGAAAATTGAATTTAATTGATATATTAAGGTCAACATGTGGAGGTTGAGAAGTACTAGAAAGTTTAGTTTTGCTATGACATAGTCATAGAAAAAGACAAAAGAAAGAAAGGAAAAAGTTAAAACAAAACAAACTTGTATATTTTCTTTGATATACTCATTATTTGAATCCACATGCAAGACTATTAAGATACAAAACAAATTTAGGATTTAAAATTGAGTTTAAGATAAACAGAATTTAAAATTTCTAAATTCCAACCAACTCCAATCAAATACCTACAATGACATTAATTACATATAAAAGTCTTACAAATACATAATTCAATTTCACCAAAATCAATTCTTTAGATTATAAAGTTCACAAAATGCTATTGTGTAGGAAACTAATTGGCAAAAAAGAAGTTAACCATTTATAAATTTTGAAAAAAAGTTAATATGATTAATATTATAAAATTATTCTCTAGATTATTTATAGTAAAAACATAAAATAAAACAAATTATAAGAATACATTTTTAGGGTGAATATAACTCTTTACCCACCTTTCCTAAAACATTTATCAATAACATTTTTGTAATTTAACGAAACTCATATGATTATATGTCTTGCTTCAACATATTTGTTAATATTAGTGTAAGTAGCTACCTTAAAATATGTCAAAAAATGAAGGCAAAAAATACAAATTAATTAACTAAGTTGGTGCCTAAGTTATTCTTATTTCTAGCTTTTAAAAGTATCTTTTAAGCGCAAAAAAAAAAAAAAAAAACTTGGTTCGTCATACTGAGAATGTTATATCAATGCACACTTTAAATTTTGAGGCACCATTACCATGTGACAATGATTGATAACTAAAATATTTATTTCGTGGGCATTACATCTCGAAATAGACATAATGTTTACTTTCAAACCCCTTAAATGTTTGTCATTGATCATTTACTCCTTTATTCTTTGAGTGGTGATATTTTGACAACCAGAAACCATACAACCCTTCAAACAACTCACTTTTATTAATATAATAATCTATCGAATGATTTAATAAAAATAAAAATAAATTAAAACTATTATTATAATATTAAAAGAGAGTTGTTTATAGGAGTTGTATGGATTTGGGTTGTCAAAGTATCATTTTTCTTATTCTTTCATGCAAATGCATTACTAAGTATATTATTAGGTTGGGTTCGTGTATTTATAGGATTTTGTTTGATTGAATCTCTTATTCCTTTTCAAGAAAATAATTTTTTCTTGAAGAATTATTTCTACTTTCCTTTACCTTGTGTTTGGATGCAAAATGTGTAGGGTAACTCAATTTAATAGGGGAATTGAAATACTTGACAAAATAGGTTGTTTGGATAGAAAATTTTGAAAAAATTGAAATTCTAGAAATTCATGAAAATATTTCATTTTAATAGAAATTTTGAAATGTTTCATGACAAAATAGATTGTTTAAATAGAGAATTTGGTTCAAATTTAATATAAAAAGTAAGAATTTGAAATTCTTTGTACATTTTTCATTTTCAAATTCATGTCTCTTTTATTCATATTTTCTATTTTACTCAATCTCGATTAGGATATCTTTGGTTCATCTCGGCCTATTTTAATCAAGTCTACTCATTTTAACCTAACTCAACTCATTCCATAACCACTTGACACAGATAAAAATAGCCTAGCTTGTCCAAGCTAATGCAACCCAACCCAACTTGACTTGACTCACCATGACCTATTATGACCTAACCTAACACATTCTGACCATACTCAACCAATCTTGACTAAACTACTATCGATTTGGCCCATTTGTCCTAATTTGGCGCATCTGTCTTAACATGGCCTACCACGACCTAACTCAACCTAATTTGATTCATCCCAATCTGACTTGATGCTACCTAACTGACTTATCCCAAAGTGATCTAACATTTTCTGATAAAGTCTAAATTGACTATCCAAACTAGGTTTGGCCTACCCTATCCCACCTTAACTTGACCCAATCTAACCTATCCCAACTGGACTTGTTCCAATTTGGCTTAACTCATCTTGATATGACCCTTTCTAACTCGACATGTCTTATCTCAACCTAGCCAAATTTGTCTCATCTTGGTCTGTTTTGGCCCATCTCAACCTACTTGAACTAACACAATCTGACTTGGCCTAACTCATCCCTGCATGCCTAACACAACTAGTATTATCTTGATACAATCTAACTCATCCTAACCCAATTTAGCTCAACCTAGTCAACTTAGCTCAACTTGACCTAGTTTAGTCAATATCAACTAGGTCCAACCATGACAACAATCTTCCTGATCTAGTGTAACCTGATTTAGTCTATCATGATCCGCCTAACCTATCTTAATCCATGTAAATAAGAATCATATATTGTGAGAAAGAATATTTGACAAGTCTAATTGATATACTTTATCCAAATAATAAAATTAAAATTCAATAAATATGAATTATTTTATATGAAAATCCCGACTTTAAATAATGAAAATTTAGTTATGAATTACAACTCCCTCGTTCCTTAGGTGAAAGTAGATATCTTTAAGGAAACTTTCTCTTACACTAATGTTTAAAATATTAAAGTCTTATAAAATATTACAAAATATTTAATAGAAATACGAGTAGAAGTACGTATTATAATAGAATCGTACCCTCCTACTGAGCCTAATTTTAAAGATGTTGAAGTTAGTGAAGATGGTTTTTTATTTATTATACTTAGAGTGATTCTTGTACGGAGACACATTTAACACATTATATTTACACATATTTACTAGAAATACAAAATTCATGGAGTTTTCTCTCATCTCACTTATACTTATTCTTTCATGTTCAAATTTATCTTTCTATAATTAATTCCTCAAGTAACCTAAAAAATAAAAAAAATTATGTTAAAAAAATTATATTTTAAAATATATGATGAATTTATTTTGAATAATAATATAATTTAGTTTTTATATCTAAAAAAGAATATTTAAATAAATTCAATCATTTAACCTATTTTAAATTGTTTTAAACTAAGATAAATATTTTAAAAATTATAAATAATTTGTCTAATTAATTAGAAAAAAAGTTAATAATAAATGTTTTAGAATTTAATATTTTTATTAAATAATTAACTTTAAAAAAACATTTCATATTTAATAAATGATCGGAGGACATAGTCACACAATCAACTATTTTTCACATTAATGAAGTATTGGATCAATATTTAAATTATTTATAATTTTTAAAATATATTTGAGTATTCATCAATAAAATTTTAAATACATTCTTAATTAATTTGAAATATAATTTTTTTGCAAAAAATTCATTTTTTGTTATTTTATATTACTTGTGAAGAAATATTTAAAAAAAGAAATGAAAAAAAAAGATGAAGTTCAGGGGAGAAAAAGTTATAATAATAGAAAAAATAAGATGAAATATAATAAATTGTCCAATTTTAAATAAGTATGCGACATCTTAGATGAATATAGATATTAGACTTAGTAAAAAAAAAAAATACGAACAAATATAAACAATAGACTCATGGAACTTTGTTTCCAGATTTATACACTAGTGAATAAAAATTCATTACAATCCATAAATCTCTTACAAACATCTGATTTTAAGCGAACAAAAAATGTAGCTCAAAACAAATCAAACAAAACATTTCTTGAATTCTTTTGTCTTCTATATAATTGTAGTTGTGAATCTTCTAATGCAACTAACGACATAAACTTCTACAGCTCTTATCTCAACATTCTAGAACCTTAAAAAAAAAAAAGTGAATCCATTATGAAATGAAACAATCAAAGTAGAAAAAAAACTCATTCTTGCATATCTTCTTTTCAATTTAAACAAATAAACCAATTATTTATACTTATTTAGTAAAAATAATTTTAAAATATATTAAAAAGATGTAACAATAATTTATAAACTTAATATTCGTACAAGTTCAAGTTTGAGTATCCTGATAGAACAATTAGAGAATAACGATTTTAGTGTTGCACCATATTGATTTTAATCAGATTTTGTAAACACTCCGTATTTTTTTTTTGTGTGTGTGTGAACTAAATGAATAATTTTTAAAGCAAATGATTAAATCTTGTTTGAAAAAAAAAAAACAATAAACAAGACATGATAGCAAATAATCCAACTGGACCAAATTGTTACGAAAATGAAATGAACATAACAGACAAAAAGCCCAGTAAGAGAGGGCCCATTACAAGCCTCTTCTCCAACAAAGCCCAAGTACACAGCCGAACATGCCCCTTTCCCCACAACACACAACACACAACACAGTCACCTCACCCAATATGTACTCTACACATAACTTACGAACTGCAAACAAAGTCACACTCACAAAACACACTCAACCACCAAATTGCAACATTGAATGCACATTCCCTTCATTGAAGAACTCTCATCATAGTTTCAGAAGAAATAAGAAGAGCTTCCCAAATCAAAACCCTCATGACCCGTTGCCACGTTATCCGAGACTGGTGGCATTGCACTAAAGAGTGGACTATGCACCACGTAATCACTCGATTCATATCCCAAATACGGGTAACCCGACCCGGTACTCGACACACTATAACTTGGATCGGAAAACCCCACACCATCTCCATAAAGCCCATGACCCGTTTCATAGCTCATGGAGCTTGTGATATCCGGTGGCAACGGTGGAAGCTGCGTTTCACCATCATCAAAGAGATTAAAATGTGAATGTGAACCCTCCACGTTGGTTGCTCCTTCGGTGTAACCATAACTATAGCTATAGCCACCGGATGAGGCAACATCGGTGGTAGAAAATGTGGGAGTGTTGGCTACACCCGGGTACCCGCCCAAAGAAAATTGTGAGTTCGGGTCGGGTTGTGAACACATGTTCTGATTTAGTAGAGAGGAGAGGTCTTCTTGGGCCTGATGGATTTGGATTTGGGTTTGTTCATCAGGAGAGATGATGGAGGTCACAGAGGAGCCTGGCGGAGTGTCTGGATAGACAAAATTGGTTCGGGCACGTGACCCGCGCATGGAACGAGCCGCTCTGTCGTATGCGAGGGCAGCTTCTTCGGCGGTGTCAAATGTGCCCAACCAATGCCTCTCCTTGGTGGAAGGGTCGCGAATTTCCGCCGCGTACCTTCCCCATGGTCGCCTTCTCACACCAAGGTACCTCCCTCCCCAAACCGTTTCATGTTGTTGATGATCTTGTGTTGTGGTTTGCTTCTTTTTGGACTTGGAGGATGATGACGATGGCGATGGCTTGAGGGAATTCATGTTCCAAGTTTTGACGTGAATGAAAGTGAACAATTTGTTGTGGCAAGGAAGGAAGAATGAAGGGAAATTAACAATGGAGATGAATGAAGTTGGAACTTGGCATGCAAGGTTGGTCACTTTGTAGTGACTCTTAATGTTTCTTTCTCTTTCTGTTTTTGTTTTGGTGTGTGGAATCAACGAGTTAGGACATGGTTTAAATAAGGAAGGTTTGTCTCTCCAAAACCCTCATTGTCTCCATAACATTATCGTATTTTACATCTATGCCCTCCTTTCTTATGAATAAGTCCCAAGCATGCCAACACGTGCCCTCTTTAGTATTTTTTTTTTTTTTTTTGGGTGCTTTATCCATACTTGTTAAAGCTCTAGTCAATCATATGAAGTTAGTAATGAAAGTGTGGAATTGAATGAAGGGCAACAAAATCCATCATTTACTCTCTCTACGGGTCCTGGCATACCACAAAACTCTGTTACAAATGAGTTTCAAATGATGAGAGGAGGATGAAGAGAATTATATAATTAGTGGGTGATATAATTAGAAATCTAAATGGCCCATGATGAGCATGTTCTCATAGATACCCCATTTCATGATTATTCCCCAATTAAATTAGTTGTTCTTTGTTTTGAGTTTTGGCCAAAGTTGTGTTTAGTTTAGTATATTGTATATAATTGTATCCATGTACTCGAATAACCCTTCGGATAGTCCAAAGTTGTTGCATGTGACCTTTCTATCAAATCATGAGATTGTACATGAACAAGGAACTAATCATATTAGACAGTGTCCAAAGTCCTCACACAATCTAATATGATATGTGTTTAGACTCGTTATATAATTTTATTTGTACTTTTCCTAATTAATTTGCTCATCATCCCAAAACAAGGAGAAGAGAAAAATAAAAATAAAAAGATCTTATGAGTTGCACACTAGCACATTTCTAATTATCATTGCAGGTGGGAGGTTGATGATTTTTAAGGTCCCATTAGAAGTGCATCGAAGCTAAGATCTTATGGAATAAACTACTTAGATTTATGATTAGTAATTATGTAGGAGTTATGATCAATATATCTACTCATTCTACATTTGCCTGCATGCTTAGGCAACATGCTTCCCCTCCTCCTCAAATCATTTCATATTATAAAAAAAATATTAGCCCATTGAAATCATTTATTTTAAAAAAATAACTAAATTTAATTATTTATCGAGAATTAGTACCCTAAGTTTTTTTTTTATAATAATATTGGATTTTATTCATGTTTCATTTATCAACGCTTCAGTCTAATATTCCCTATACCTATTATCACGTTACAATTTTATTATAAAAAGAAACCTAATAAATCCAAAAAGAAAAATATATATAAAGACTTTAATTCCGCATCGATGAAAAGTATCATAATTTAAATTTAAAATTGAAAAATAGGTATATTACTATTATTATTATTAATATGGATATTTAATTATTTTTATTTTTCCGTAAGTTATTTTATGGTAGATCTCTCTAACTTGTTTGATTATGTGGGTATTTATATGTGTCAGTTATAATTTTTAATTATATGCTGTAAACTGACAACTTTTAACCCAATCATAATGAAATTTTTTCACTCAAAATAATTATTTATGTCATATGTTAAAAACTTATCATCATTAGTGCAATGAAGGTATTTGATCTTTTTCAGCGCAATTCCTCAGTTATATCCAACTCCAATACATACATGACATTTTTGTCACATTTTCTTGTTTTATTCTAGTGCATAGTCATTTAAGATAATTTGCTGTATTAATTAACAAATATTTTTTCATCTGAAACCACCTTTTCTTACCTTGGTATATGAACTATATATATATTCTAATATAAAGCCTTACTTTAACCCGAGAAATTATAGAATATGGTTATAGACGGTGGCCTATAATTGGAATGGTGAGAAGGTGAATGAAATTGAAGTTGATTATTATAGTATAATCAGATTAACTTATATGACATTTTAATGACATATAATAATAGGGTGTTTAAGGAATATGATTGCTCAACCCATGTGCGACCATTTAGAGTCATAAACTCAATGATAAGTTCCACAGTATTCCCTTCTTTTAATCAAACACCAAATAGTTAACTTTTCAAGTGTTCATATTTTATTGGTAACATTTTTTTTTAATAAATATATAATTTTGCAAAGTTCAGAGATAGCATGCATGTATATCGTATTTTATTTGTTACGTTAACAATAGAAGGGAAACCAAATCAAACGAAGGCATGTTGGGGGGCATGTGAGAAAGACACATAGGCGTAACTTTTTTGAGGAAAACAATGACTAGGTAACTTTTGATTAGGGACAACTTATTGCAAAACCTGCTAGGGCAACTTTGACTAAATATCACATCACTAACAATATTGCATGCCTATGGGTTAATTACAAGTTCTAATTTTGGAGAATTATGAGGGGAGAGATAGTTACCTTCTTTAATTTCAATTTTCAGTACGATTTTTCTCAATTATAGAATAAATCTCTTCTTACTATTATTTGTTCTTTCACCTTACTTCAGTGGTGTATGGATCATGCACTGGATTCTTTTTCACAACTCTCCACATTTCATCACTAGACTTTGTTAATTATTCGTATAATGAGCTTCAAGATTTCTAAAATATTTTATTTTTATTTATCTATTTTTTTTAGCTGTTAGAAACAACCAGGACATTATTATTGAGATGCATCCATTATGTGTATATTTTACCTGTATTTTTTAAAATGATTTGTATGATAAATATTATTATTATTATTTGTATAATAATAATTATTATATATAATGTTTTAGTGTATTCACGAGTCTTTTTAAGTATCGAAGTTAAAAGTAATTTATATACATTCTCCTCTTTTAAATCACCGAGATGAAAAATTTATTAAAACGAATATGAGACTAAATTTCAATCCTTAATTAGAACATATAGTATTAGATATTATTTGTTTTAAAATATTATTTTGTTTTAAGATTCTAATTCATTCGTTTTTTACATTTATTGTACAATTTTAACTAAACAAGTTAATTTGGTTCAAATTAATTAGATCCCTTCTACTTGTATGTTCAAAACTCAATTTTGAGAATAATTTTGTCCAAAAGTTTACTCGCAATTTTGCTACTAAATATAAACATCATACTTTAATGTAATTAACTTATACCAAATATAAAAAAATAAATATACTTTAAATTTGTTGAATTCATAAATTACAAACTCAATATCTCAACTAATCATCATTATCAACATTGATTATGGATGACTTCATATTATACCCAATTAGACTAAAATTTGAGCCAATTTATTTTATTTTATTTAGATTTTCATATTAATTCAAAGTGGTGGACAATCTCAATGATAAATCTTTCGAAAGGAATTTATCGAGGACGAACAACACTAATAAAACATGAGTTCAATCATATAAGAGATTAATATCACTTTCAACTCAAAATATTAAGACATTGGGTTATGTCTTTCTTTCTTATATGATGTTAATAAGACATGAGTTCAACTCACATAAAAGGTTGACATCACTTTCAACTTAAAATCTTAAGACATTAGGTTATGTTTTTATTTTTTTTTTATATGTTACTCAACTTTCTTATTTTTTCCCAATATAAAACATAAACTCACACTTGGATTTCTCAATAATCTTCCTCTCAAATGTAAGTTCGTATTGGTATATCTCTTTCGCGCTCATTAGTGACCCTTCTTTATTCTGTCATTCATCATAACGGGAGGACTTAGACTTACATTTGGATTTTCTAACAATTTCTCCCTCAAGTATGAGTCCATTACATTGATACATTCTTCTCGAACTCACCAAGGAGAGACAACACCAATAAGGCATGAGCCTAATCCACATAAAAGATTGACACCACTTTGAACCAAAAATCGAAGATACCACTGATGAGTCTTTCGAGGGGGATTTACTGAAAGAGACAATATTAATGAGATATGAACTCAACTCACATAAGGGATTAACACCACCTTAAACTCACAATCTTAAAAAATTGAGTTATGAGTCTTTTTTTCTTATATATTACTCAACTTTCTCATTTTTACTCAATATAGGACTTAGACTCACACTTAAAATTTCTCAACACCTAATTCTACCATTATTCTATTTTGATAACAAAAGAACAAATTTTAAAATTTTTATCAGCCATGTTAATCATAATCCTAACTTAAAGATGTTGAGTTTTCTAAAATATTAAAAGAAATAAATTTTACACTAGTAAAAATAAAGATTTTGCAAAAAAGTGTATAGTTCTTTTTGTTTATTGAATATTATATATATATATATATATATATATATATATATATATTATTTTGCATTCTATTTCTCTTTTATGTATATTTTTTTTATATTGTATTCTTAGAAAATAACCTATTTTTTCTTGGTATTATTCCTATGTTTAAATATTTTATGGTGGAATGTTAGTCACAATCTCAAATATTTTATTTCCGACAAAAAAACATTATTTTAAAGGTTTTCTTTATATGTATTTTTGATACATGAAATATATGATAAGGTAAAATTTCTCTCACATTATATGTATATTATTTTTCATGTACTTATGCATAGAGTAAAAATATAATAAAATATCAAACTGTCACAATATTTGTTTTTTCTGTTATTTTAAACAATAATAAAAATCTATTAATACCTAGTCTAAATAAAATGATAATAAAACATATATTCTTAACATCCATCCTTAATTTATTTAACTTTATTATTCTTCCTTTTTATATTGTTTCGCTTTTTCCTCTTCTTTTGTTTGTAAATTTTATCATTTTGTTTCTTGTATGATACCATATCTTCATTCAATTTCAATACCTCACTATCATGCTTTTTTGTTTTGTAATCACTTGTAAATAAGTTTCTTGTTCAAGATTATATTTCTTCTCATAAAGTTTTCTCTTTGCATTGATAGAATTTTACTTAGCCCTTGACATGTTATAATTTTTCTTAAATTCTTCTTTTAGGTTCCC